TTGTTTAGATGATAGAGAAGTGTTTAGATGATAGAGGAGTGTTTAGATGATAGAGCAGTGTTTAGATGATAGATGAGTGTTAAGATGATAGATGATACAGGAGTGTTTAGATGATAGAGCAGTGTTTAGATGATAGAGCAGTGTTTAGATGATAGAGGAGTGTTTAGATGATACAGGAGTGTTTAGATGATGGAGCATTGTTTAGATGATAGAGAATTGTTTAGATGATAGAGGAGTGTTTAGATGATAGAGCAGTGTTTAGATGATAGAGGAGTGTTTAGATGATAGAGGAGTGTTTAGATGATAGAGAAGTGTTTAGATGATAGAGGAGTGTTTAGATGATGGAGCATTGTTTAGATGATAGAGAATTGTTTAGATGATAGAGGAGTGTTTAGATGATAGAGCAGTGTTTAGATGATAGATGAGTGTTTAGATGATACAGGAGTGTTTAGATGATGGAGCATTGTTTAGATGATAGAGAATTGTTTAGATGATAGAGGAGTGTTTAGATGATAGAGCAGTGTTTAGATGATAGATGAGTGTTTAGATGATAGAGGAGAGTTGGGATGATAGAGGAGTGTTTAGATGATAGTTGAGTGTTTAGATGATAGTGGAGTGTTTAGATGATAGAGGAGAGTTCAGATGATAGAGGAGTGTTTAGATGATAGTGGAGTGTTTAGATGATAGTGGAGTGTTTAGATGATAGAGGAGAGTTCAGATGATAGAGGAGTGTTTAGATGATAGAGGAGTGTTTAGATGATAGTGGAGTGTTTAGATGATAGAGGAGTGTTTAGATGATAGAGGAGACTTTAGATGATAGAGGAGTGTTTAGATGATAGTGGAGTGTTTAGATGATAGAGGAGTGTTTGGATGATAGAGGAGTGTTTAGATGACAGAGGGGTGTTTAGATGATAGAGGAGTGTTTAGATGATAGAGGAGTGTTTAGATGATAGAGCAGTGTTTAGATGATAGAGGTTTAGATGTTTAGATGATAGATGATACAGGAGTGTTTAGATGATAGGGAGTGTTTAGAGAGGAGTGTTTAGATGATAGAGGAGTGTTTAGATGATAGAGGAGTGTTTAGATGATAGAGGAGTGTTTAGATGATAGAGGAGTGTTTAGATAATAGAGGAGTGTTTGATGATAGAGAGAGAGTTTAGATGATAGTGGAGTGTTTAGATGATAGAGAAGCGTTTAGATGATAGAGAATTGTTTAGATGATAGAGGATTGTTTAGATGATAGAGAAGTGTTTAGATGATAGATGAGTGTTTAGATGATAGAGGAGTGTTTAGTGTTTAGATGATAGATGAGTGTTTAGATGATAGAGGAGTGTTTAGATGATAGAGGAGTGTTTAGATGATAGAAGCAGAGTTTAGATGATAGAGGAGATAGAGGAGTTTTAGATGATAGAGCAGTGTTTAGATGATAGATGAGTGTTTAGATGATAGTGGAGTGTTTAGATGATAGAGGAGATGATAGTTTTAGATGATGGAGCATTGTTTAGATGATAGAGAATTGTTTAGATGATAGAGGAGTGTTTAGATGATAGAGCAGTGTTTAGATGATAGATGAGTGTTTAGATGATAGAGGAGAGTTTAGATGATAGGAGTGTTTAGATGATAGAGGAGTGTTTAGATGATAGTGGAGTGTTTAGATGATAGAGGAGGGTTCAGATGATAGAGGAGTGTTTAGATGATAGTGGAGATGTTTAGATGATAGTGGAGTGTTTAGATGATAGAGGAGAGTTTAGATGATAGAGGAGTGTTTAGATGATAGAGGAGTGTTTAGATGATAGTGGAGTGTTTAGATGATAGAGGAGTGTTTAGATGATAGAGGAGAGTTCAGATGATAGAGGAGTGTTTAGATGATAGTGGAGTGTTTAGATGATAGAGGAGTGTTTAGATGATAGAGGAGTGTTTAGATGACAGAGGGGTGTTTAGATGACAGAGGAGTGTTTAGATGATAGTGGAGTGTTTAGATGATAGAGGAGTGTTTGGATGATAGAGGAGTGTTTAGATGACAGAGGGGTGTTTAGATGACAGAGGAGTGTTTAGATGATAGAGGAGTGTTTAGATGATGGAGCAGTTAGTATAAATCATACAGGCATGTCCAGCTGCAATAATAGTTCACAAAGAGATTTCCTGAAGCAGTAAGAAGAAAACACAAAGCGATCTCAAGAAGCAGAATGAGTTGAAGATACAGGCACACTATATATGGTAGCAACAGCAGATGATAGTGAGATCACTGGTAGCAATAGGAGTGTTGCATAAAGGGATCTCCGTTAGATGTAGAACAACATCCCTCTCATAGCCTTCAGGAACACGGCAAACTGAATCAAACGAAGAATGACAAGGGTGAGGACAGCTGTTAAAGATATTAATAATACTTATGCACATATATATTTATATTGATCCTCAATGTATGAATATATCAACAAATATGTGAATGTGAGACGTAAAATCAATTATACATTTAGACCGTGCAATACGGGTGACATATGTATACTCCATGCTTACTCTGCATTATGTTTTCTTTTTAAAGGAGACATTATTGATTATTTATTACCGAATCAGCAATATTTGAGCCGACTCGGTCGTTCAGCGACAATACTTTAAGACCCTGCTAAAATTCACGCTCTTCACAGGTGTAGCGATAAAGTAGTTAGAAATAGCACTGCTCTTTGACAACAAGATCTAAGTGTGTATACTATTCAAAACAATGGCGTGTGTGTGTGGAACCTGCCCAAAACACCGTGTCGCTGACAGGTCAATCACCGAGAACGCTTTATTAGCTTCCAATAGAATTATATACACATACATTGTATACTTATGGCAGATGTGAGCAGAGAGAGGTCAAGAGTAAACCACTAAACGTTTGGTGAGCGTTAAGAGATTGTATTTACTCGATGGTGCCATATAGTTTGAATGTTCTTTTCTTTTATACATAAATATAGATGGGTGCATCATGTTAGTCAACTCCAGGGGGATCTCTCTCTCTCTCACACACACACACACAACACACACACACACACACACACGGCATATCAAATTGATGCTTCCTAATGTTATTACAGTATAACGTGGGCACGAAGAGCTAATATTTAACTATAATTTAGTAATTCAGTAATTAATCGTTATAATATTTGTCTCATCACGATTGCCTAATTCGTTTATAATGTTCCATTGTTTTCGTTCGTTGTGCCATATGAAAGCATTATTGCAAGAAACTGAAGACTAACTGATCCATTGTATATAACGTCACAAGCGACGTAACGTGACGTCATTCCAATAGCAGGCCTACTTAGCTGACCAGTGGTAAAGTGCTTGACCGCTTTGTTGAACGGGACTAGGATGTTTCAGCCTCTGATGAATAAAAAAACACATGCACAATATAAAAAATAGTCCACCTATACTACAAGGTATTGCGTGTTATGTGTTATGTGTCACCCCCTCCCCACCCCAACCCCACACACACCTCACACACCCACCCCACACCCCCTCTCCAATTAAAAACAATTGAAGGGGGTGACAACCATTATTGGCATGAGTATATGATTTAAGTTTTGGTGACGCTTAATGCATTAGAATAAATAATTGCAAACACTATCAAACGTAAAAGGTGGTGTACAAGAAGTGACAATAAAAAAAAACTTCAAGCAGAAACTCCAATTTGATGTTGAAAACCATATATAGTGAGTGAGTGAGTTTAGTTATACGCCGCACTCAGCAATATTCCAGCTATGTGGCGGCGGTCTGTAAATAATCGAGTCTGGACCAGACAATCCAGTGATCAAAGGCATGAGCATCGATCTGCGCAATTGGGAACCGATGACATGTGTCAACCAAATCAGCGAGTCTGACCACCCGATCCCGTTAGTCGCCTCTTACGACAAGCATGGGTTACTGAAGATTCATTATGACCCGGACCTTCACAGGTAGAAAACCATAATAATAGTTTTAACTTCGGTTTAACATTTGGCATTAAACCTTTTTGTTACATACAGGAATGAAGGGGGGTGGGGACGCCAACTTGGTTAAAGCGTTCGCTCGCCACGCCACGGCCCTGGTTCGATTCCCCACATGGATACAATGTGTGCTGGAATATTGCTAAAAGCCACGTAAAACTTAACTCACTCACTCTACAGGAATAAGAAGCTGTACACACACAATCATATTGTGTACTAGAAGCATGTCCTATAAAAGCGAAGAAGATACAGGTTAGTAAAAAATATATTGTTTGCGTATATAATTTCGCATACATGTGATTATCACACAGCTGCCTATCACAAAAACATAAAACAGACCGCAGAGTGTTGAAAACAAGTAGATACCAGCCCGAAGGTCACTCACATAATTCAGCCTGTTATATATTATACGTGATATATATTTAGATATTTACACCGCTGATACAATAGATACCCAGTTATAAAAGACTGCTGAAACAACGTGGTTTCAAAAAGAGTGAAAACAACTGTTCAAAGTGTGTAACAACCTAGATTTGCCTCTACTCATTCGCATCCCTGAGAAGGATTACTCTTGCGCTCTATGCAAGCACGTGTTGCTGGAAAACCCCACCACCTAACGTTGATCTCACTAGACTTGACGAGGCTCCTCCAGTTCATCAATAAACAGCACCAAAGAACGTTATTATCTGTGGATGATAATTGCAACATTTATATCTTAACACCTTAATTGACATTTTGAAATGTTAATTGCAAAATGGTAGTTTCTTTTAGTCCGTGGCTGTTAATATTGCAAAATGTTATGAAATAACATATTATTGTCCATTCATATATTGCTAACGTATTAGGACGTTGATTTTCCTGTCTTTGTCTATCATACCTTTCAGGAGAAAACTTGTTATATCTCTGTTTCGTCAGAGACAGATGGTGATAATGACGTAAGTTGCTTGTTTTTCAACCAAAATTAATGTTTTCAAAATAGACACATGCAAGTGTAGGGGCCTGTCGCACTGCGAAATGTGTAAACACTGTGGTCATGTGACCAATGCATGGAAACTGGTTGGAACGAGTTGCTGTAGCCGGAATATTCTGGATGAGACAGAGGTAACAGTAGTGAACAAGACGTTGTGACAAGAGACTGAACCACGGTAAGATAAACATTTGGAATCACTTATCTCGCTGAAACCTTTCTTGCATGTTTCACAAGTCCGGCGACTGGCCGCACGGCGAGAAAAGTGGGTCATTCTGCCAACAGCTGATTACTGCAAACACTCGCTGAACGCTATCCGACATTTTACTGCTATTTTCTCGTCAGCTTTGCTTTTACTTGTTTTTTCTTGCACAGAATATCTATCTTAACACAAATCACTATTTGTCGCTAGTTGTTTCCTTTCTATCAACAAAGGTTGCTAATTTTGCCCGTTTTGGGCTCAAATTGTCGATGCGGTATGGCATGTTTTTCGAATTCAAACTGACGCTTGGTGACAGACGCTACTTCGTGCATGACTTTGTTTCTGTAAATACTTATTTGTGAACAACATAGGAAAATGCTGGTTTAAGTGATACTTTCAACATTTCAAATAGTCACAAACTATGATCAAACGAGAAGACTCGTTGTCATTCGTTTCAAAAATCACTTTTGTGTGAGCGTCTTTGTTGGTGTATCGGTGTAGAAGTTACAAGCAAACAGATATCAAACAGTAATCAGATGAACTTTTCTGTCATTTCCAATTAAAACAAAACTTCTGTCGTATTTGTGTATCAATTAAGGGTACGATGTGATAAGAGGATTAATGGGAGGGCCATATCAGGGATATTTTCTGATGCAACTTTCTAGGATTCTTTCTGCCGATCCCAGCTCCCGATCTTCCAGCGCTGCAGAAATAATGCAACGCATGATTTTCATATTTATATGAAATTTAGTTGAAGTAATGTTTTTAGGCCTTTATGTTGTTGACATGTGAAATACAGATGTTTTGCACTGCTGCTATCTTTGTAATTGGAAACGAACAAAGCTGCGCCTGCCTTGGTTGTGGGCCCGGCCGGCGTTCCGTCAGCTGATTCCAGCTGGTTTGAACTAGTACGCTCACAAAGGGAAGGACCAAACGTTTCAGTCACATTGTACTAGCATAAGTCGTGCTGGAATCATAGCGACCACAAAGGTGATAGAAAGACAGAATAGACTTGCAATAGTGGGAGATCATTTTGATTTTGACAAAAGTATAACCATACTAAATTATATTACTTTGGTGACAAATGTTGTACTCTGTTTGAAATATGTTGCAGTTTTGTTTCAAGTGAGGGGAATAAAAAAAAGTTATTCCCTGTTCATTTGTTGATGTGGGTATTATTACACAATAAAACCATTCATAGAGACCAAACAATTTTATTGTGAATATTGTTTTTCTAATTAAAGGTTTTCAGAGTTTAAGCAGGTTTTGTTTCAAGGCATAAACAATGAACATATTACCTTACTGAAATGTTTCAGTATACATGAATGGCTTTCTGAGAATTTATAAAATGTTGTTGCTTTCAACAGTAATCCATTCATTTGGCAATTCAAGGCTCTAAGTATGTTGATTGTGCTTTTGTAATCTATTTGTTCAAGTGAAACAAGAGGCAAGAAAATATTTAAACACTAGGCAGCACAGTCTTTGAAATTCTGGGGTAGCCTAGTGGTTAAAGCGTTGACTTGTCACGCCAAAGATCCGGGTTCGATTACCCAGATGAGTACAATGTGTCAAGCCCATTTCTGGTGTCCCCCACCCTGATATTGCTGGAATTTTGCTAAAAGTGGAGTAAAACCATACTCACTTTGAAATTCTATCATATAATGAGATGATGTTTTGGATTTGAAGCAACATGATAGAAATTCATTATCTTTACTCGTCCTTTGAAAAGGAGAAATACCAGTGTCATGAAAAAAGCAAAATGTGAAAGAAAAAACCCTACAAGTAAAGAAAGAAATTATATATTTGTTGGCTCCTGATAGAGAAGTATTTTAAGCATGCATGAGTCGGTTGGCACAATAACTGGTTCACATATACTAACACCGCATGAGCTGTATCACTGCGAGAGCTCTAGTCAGACTTAAATATAGCAACCCTAGTTTGTGGCCTGGATTCTGCCTTCACCTTGCCAGTTACCTGGATCAGCTGATTGCTGTAGGCCGCCTATCTTGGCAGCATTTGTGTAACCTGTCAGCCAGCTCTCACCAACTTGTGGTCTGATGGTAGGGATAACCTCCATTACTGCACAGGGGAAATAACGGTTTATATTCACCACACTGCTGATCAGAAGGTGACTTTTCTTCATATGATGCTTATTATTTTGTGTTTTTGACTAAAATAACTAATGTGCTGGCTTTTGTGACCTCAAAATGTGAAATAGTGTCATGCGGTCACTTGAACTTCTGGAATTTGGGAAGCCATTACAAAATTCTTTCGGTAACAACAGAATTAGTCCTGCAGCATATTTGTATGTCATTTAACTTAGTATATTATTTGATCATTTCTTCTTTATTTTATGCATTGGTTAGAACACGTGCACAAGCAACTTGTAATTTCATTGAATTTGTCCTTGCATATGTTTGGAAACTGGTCTTTTCTGTTAACACTTAATTGAGATGTGCATAGCAGTGTTCGTTTCTATTGCTTGTACTTGTGGTTTTATGATCATTAGGACTCAAGTTTTCTCAATGTGATTATGTTGTGTTTGGGTTGAGCTATGCTGGCTAGGTGACCCACTATAGTGCTATTCATAGCACAGTTGCTGAGGTGAGGCAGAAAGGTTATGGTCTGGTCAGTGGCCATGTCTAGCATTGACCACTTTAGACAGAGCAGCAAACTTCCTTAATACTGTTAGGAATGGACTTTCAGTTATGTTAAACTGAGTACTACAGAAAGATTACTGTGTGATATTTCCCCATCTAACATAGGAGAGGACTGATACATTGATAGAGAACAGTGGCTTCTTTATTTCTGTCTGAACATGCTGAAAGCAGATACACTGCTCTTATTTGACAGAATTTGATTTGAAACATTTTGCAGATTCAGTGAAAATTGAGTTTTTGTTTACTTGGATGTTAGTGGTTGATAGACTAGCGACTATCTTTGATTTGGGGGAGGAGCATGGGAGTCCCTGTCATCTGGGGCTCTGCTATTTGTTGAGGAGAGTTGCATACCAGGAGCAGGCAAGGAACGTATGATAGTGAGTTCAGCTGGTGGTTAGCCCCGATAACGTTTCTAGGTGTGTCAACCCTGTACCTGTGCTTGGAGTTTGACCAAAGTGGTACACTTCGAAGACATGCATCACTTGTAGCTTTCAGCCCACTTCATGCACATTTGCCACCACGCAACTAGAACACTTGAGAGAATGAGCAAGTGAGTTTAGTTTTCTGTCGCATTTAGCAATATTCCACTATATCACAGCGGGGGACACCACTCATTGTACCCATGTGGGGAATCGAACCCAGGTCTTCTGCATGAAGAGCGGGTGCTTTAACCATTTGGCTACCTCACCACCCCACTTTTAAAAGCAGTGTGAGACCCAACTCACTGACTTCTGATTAAGATTTCCATGTCTTAATCATCTTCTTTTGTTTTGCAGTTCAGAAATCAGTAGTCTTGGCACAATGGCTGACCTAGAAGGCAAGTACATGTGCCATGAAGACATCAGACAGGCGGCAGAATCTCTGTTGTCCATGTCTAATCAAGACCAATTCTCAGTGGAAAATGAAACAGAAAACCTGCCTCCAGTGGAAGACGAGCAGGGGAACGAACCTGACCACCGAGGTGAGGAGACTGAGGGTGAAACAGAGCCCCTCTGCGACACAGACACAGACTGCACCCACAGTTGTGCCTCCAGCTCACAAGGCTCCCCACTCCCCTCCAAGAAGTTCCTGGCAGAGCAAATGGGTATGGGTAGCCCGGAGTGCTGTGTCACTAATCCTGTGATGGAGCCATTGCCCCTGAAGAAATATCTTTCCACGGAACTCGGGTGTGGAGATGCGGACTGTCCCAGTTGCCTGTCCAGCAGCAACGTGACTCCTCTACCGTACAGGAAGTTCAAGCCTCCAGAGTCTGACGCAGGAACTGATCTCCTACCTGTGTGTCGCATCTGCCAACTTCCAGGAGATGACGATGAAATACTCTTCTCACCATGTCGATGTGCAGGCTCTCTCAGATATGTGCATTACCATTGTTTGTTGGTGAGTACTGTTGTATACTTTTCCTCTGTTAACAGTTCAGTGTTTAATTTTGGAGAGGAATGTTAAGAGGTCCTTGTCCAAGTAACATATCCCTAATTCTAATGACAATGTGATAGTATTAAAGGTTTAAACCTTCCCTAATTCTAATGACAATGTGATAGTATTAAAAGTTTAAAAGTATTTATGGGGTCTTTCAATTCAAAAACAGTAGCAGAGAATTACATACATCATATGCTAGAATTTTTCCTTTTATATCACTGGAATAATGTTTGATGTATTCTAACATGTTCTGTCAATCAAAAACCTGTATTAATGTTTGATCTACATTCCGGTTAGATTTTTGTCAACCAGATCTTGACATATTTCTCTCTCTTCTCTTTTCAGAAATGGATAGAAGTGTGCTCAAGAAAGACGAAGAAACCCCCGAAGTGTGAACTCTGCTTCTTTCCATACATCCGACACAAGAGATTTAAGGTTGGTATCTATATTTGACCTTTTTTATCGTCTGTGCATGTTTGTATTTACTTGATTACTTCAATGTACACATAACCCTCCAGCAAAGGATTCGATACGAAAACAAGCACCTGTCCAGTTATTAAGGAAGTACGGCTGTTTAGAAGTACCAGCAAATTTGATTCCAGAGATACCACTTTGTCTGCTAGTGTTAGTATGTGTCTGTCAGTGATTGCCCTACTTGCAGCGGGGACAGTGTCTCAGTTTGATTCATGATTACCTCATCTCTAATTTGATGTCATTAACACCGGACCTCTTAAAGAGGGAGCAATTTGAATCAAGGTCTAGAATATTAATGTGAAAATTGTTTTGAGGAGGAGACCAGATGGTTGTCTCACCAACTTGTCCCAAATAATAAAAATGGTCAATTAAAAGCTGAAAGAAGTGTCTTAATACAATATTCCTCAAGAACATATTATTGATCCCACTGGGTGGAACAGTAGTGCTAGCCAATGAATGAGGGTGTGGGGAACATTGTTTGGCTGTTGGTATGTTGTTTAACGCTGCACTCAGCAACATTCCAGCTGTATGGCGGCAGTCTGTGAATAATTGTGTCTGGACCAGACAAACCAGTGATCAACAGTGGTGCTAGTCAGTGAATTGGGGTGGATGGAACAGCCAGTCATTGAATGAGGGTGGGTGGAACAGCTAGTCATTGAATGAGGGTGGGTGGAACAGCTAGTCATTGAATGAGGGTGGGTGGAACAGCTGGTCAGTGAATGAGGGTGGATGGAACAGCTAGTCATTGAATGAGGGGTGGAACAGCTGATCAGTGAATGAGGGTGGAAACAGCTGGTCAGTGAATGAATGAGGGAGGGAATGAGGGTGGGTGGAAACAGCTGGTCAGTGAATGAGGGAGGGTGGAACAGCTGATCAGTGAATGAGGGGGTGGAACAGTGGAACAGCTAGTCATTGAATGAGGGTGGGTGGAACAGCTGATCAGTGAATGAGGGTGGTTGGAACAGCAAGTCATTGAATGAGGGTGGATGGAACAGGTAGTCATTGATTGAGGGTGGGTGGAACAGCTCATTGTCATTGATTGAGGGTGGATGGAAACAGCAAGTCATTGAATGAGGGTGGGTCGAACAGTGCCCCTTCTAAGTTATTCAGGGGTTGGAAACTATTTGCCGTGTCTCTGTTACAACAAGAACATTCATGAATATCTATGTAGACAATCTATAATAATGTAAAAGTATGCTTATACAACTGAATTGGAGTCAGTACAATATTATAAACAGAAGACAATTCTAACTGAAAAACAAAAAGATGATCAAATCAGCTGAGAGGTAGATTCTTTTGACCCTTAGTTTAGAATAGTTTGAGATGCACTACTTGTCAGACAGGATAGGAATTTCTAATCATTACAAGTCAGTCTTTGTTTAAATATTACTGTCCATGGCAACAACAGGCAGTCGGCTATTTCAGGCTTGGCCTTTGCCCTTTTCTGCCAATAGTCTGACCTCTGTCTCAACTCCCACAATGTTTGATTGTAGAGTGATCTGCTTAGCCCATGTAGTCTGTCTCACAGTCCCTGAACCACATTATTTTCCCTACTGCCAAGCCCTAAATAAAGCAAGTCTAGATTTCCTCAGGTTCAGGTCCCTAGGGCTCCTTTTCAATATAAATGGGCGTGTTTGTTACTGTCAAAATTATATATATTCAGAGACTAAGCCTTAGTCTATAGCCCATGCTACAGGGAAACTTTTAGTTTAATAGACATGGATAGGAAATGCAATTATCATTATTCCATTATAATTGTTAATTGGCGTGTGTGTTAGAGAGAGGGAGGGAGAGAGAAGGTACCTATTGTTTGATCTTTGAGAGAAAGTGAGATTAGTTTTACGCCACTTTTTAGCAATATTCCAGCAATATCACGGCAGGGGGACACCAGAAATGGGCTTCACATATTGTACCCATGTGGGGAATCAAATCCGGGTCTTCGGCATGACAAGCGAACATTTTTACCACTAGGCTACCCCCAGAGAGAGTAATCTACTGTTATAATAGCTGTCAATCACACTTGATTACAGCTTGGGTATCCACAATTACTGTTATAGTATAGCTGGGCATATAGTCTAAGCAGAGGAAACAGAAGGGAAATCAGTACCAGCATTTGTCAGGGATTCTGGCAACTGACAAAATCATCAGGATTAGTACTTAAATGAATATGAGACATGTACATTTGATCTACTTTTGAATTTGTACTTCACTAAAAGTTCTGTAATGAACCTACTCAAATGCATTTGATCTACACGTTACTGAAACTTCCTGGCTACAGGGAGTGTTTCTGTAGAGAGATCCTGACTCGAGGGTTGTGTTGCCTGTATTAGTATGTTGTCCTTGATTTTGTCCTAACATTAGTCATTGAATTAGTCATTGAATTCCTAAGACACTACTGTCATTATCAGTTCATATTGCCAGTGAATCTTGTAAGAGGGTTTTTTTCATACAGGAGAGAAATTAGTTTTGATTTTGTTGAAATAAAGATGTCTTAAGATCAAGTCGAAACAAGAACCTTACTGTTCTCATGGCAATATGTTGTGATTGTGCTGGTTGGTGTTCTTCAACCAATGTCTCTTCTTATTGGCACTGTTGTATGGTATTGCTAGACAGTTCTGACCTGAGAACGTTATACGATATATTCCGAAACATTGATTCAAAAGAAAATTAAAGCATTGTGTCTAAATTTGCCTGTCAAACCGGTTTTGACACTGAAGAATGCATCAAAGGGTATTGATGTAAAAAGATTGATTTGTATTCAGACATACTGAAGAAAGAAAAGTTTTCACTTATTTATGAAATTTATTAAAACAGTATTTTTATGGAATAGAAAACAGCTCAAATATGATTCAATTTGCTTATTTATTTCTGTGTATGGGTTTGTGGTGATTTTGGCTATGTAAGCAATATGAGCTATATCACTCACGTAATTTATTCATGAGCTGTTATGTACAGCTGTGTAATATGAAGAGAACTTGATTGACATAGTCTTTGTTCCGTCTTTTATTCCAAAGTCAATTGGAAACAGTTATGTAATCATTATCACAAATGTATATGATAAATATTCATAGAATAAGCTAAGAAATACCTGCTGTGATATTACAGATATAAAATTAAACTGAAGGAAATGGCATATCATTCATTTAATAACTGGCAGCAGACTGCATTCATATAAAAGCATGTTCATAGTACAATGTGTGCAAGCATTTGGTGAGATAATTGGAATAGTTATGCAGAATCTAATAGCATTTCCTAGATCTTGTTCCAGAGTTGGGAATATTAATTTTAATGAATATTTATACCACTTGTGGTCATCAGAATGTAGGAAACAAGAGTTTTGGTACATCATGAGAAAATGTCATCTAAGTTACAATAAGTTACAAACTTGAATGTTAGGAAAAACTGATTAATTAGGAATTGTTTAGTGGATTATTTTCTGTTGCTGTCTGATTTCAGGTGTTATTTTTGGGAAATGGGTAGAAACAATTTTGCTAATTCCTGCTTCCTTTGCAGCCTTTTTTTTTTTCAACTTGTGCATGTGAGCCATTGGCCGAATCAGGCAGCGTGCTCGCCATTGTTGGCTGTCAACACATTTGTGGATTCTTCACATGGTCCACTCATGTGCATGTGCCCGGCTCAATTCTTATAATATTTTATATTTTTTCAGCTGGGTGTTGGAGGATGAAAATCGGGTCCACTGCTGATTAAGACAATATCGAATGAGAAAGATTGAATGAAAGCAGTGCTTAAGCGAAAAGAGGACACGCAACAGTGAACATGATCCAGATCATGGTATATGGTATATTGCAGGTAGTTTTCTACTTTTCTTTCATGCCTTGTTGTTTAGTTATGTCCCCATTTCCATGTCAACATGTTCCTGAGCTTATTGGTCATGTCTTTGTTTCTTCCAGTTCCATCACTGGCGTCTACCCAAGGTCAGCAAGAGGGACAAGTGTCTACACACAGCGTTCCTGTTCAACCTGATAATCATGATTGGATGTGCAGTGGCCACTGTTCTCTGTTTCCTCTCCGACAAGGGACAGATCACAAACTTGCCCAAGAACAAAGTGGAACTGACATCGGAGGAAGTGATAACTCTGGCGTGCGGTGTGTTCTTCTTTGTGTCGTTCTTCATCGCCATGACCGTTGAGATCAAAGCGAAGCACACAGTGTACAAACTCTTCATCAAGTTCCTCACTCAGAACACGGAATGGCAGATCGAACCCTATGAGCGCTCAAAGGATCCAATGTACAACATCCACCCTTCGCACAATGTGTGATGACGATGTCGAAGATGGTGATGATTGATGAACTCTCTGCTTTTGTGGAAGTGGAACAATAACATTTGTCAGAGTGCATGACTTTGCTTCAAAATGGCTCGGCTGAACTCTCACTCAACCTTTGCTGTGTGTTCACAGCACACTAGTTCACTCTCAGTAAGCTTATGGTTAATTTACACTGAACACAAACATAAGGAGACATTTAAAGGCTGTACTGTCACTTAGACCAACAAAGGATGAAGATGTAATGTTAAGCCTGTGTGAGAGCATCCTGCAGCTGTGTATGAAATGGGTCCTTCCAGAGGCAGGTGTTTACCGATGTGTGCGTTGTCAAGTCTGCTGTTGGATCCTTATGTCCTTTGCAGGTTCTCGTTAGTGATATTATGGTATATTTTGTTCAAAGTTGTCATTTCCCAGAGATGTTTATTTGTACCCAGTTTATCTGACAACTTTGAAGGAGTTACCATCAGATTATTAAACACACTGACTTTGGAAGAATTTCATTAATTATGCTGTTTGGAAAAGTTTGTGAAAAATATTGAAATCCAATCACTTTCCTCTTCACAGGCAATTAAAAAAAACACACCTTTTTTTTGCTTCTTACAATTAAAGTTGAATTAGTCGCTCTTTTTTGTAAGTTAATGATAATTATTGTATTAAAAGCTAAACCTGAGCAAAGCAATCTTATTTTGCTGCCTAGAACTCCTGTTACAACATCTCATATACTTGAACTTTTAATAAATGAATTTGTTATTGTTTTTTTCTGTGATATACCCTTATACATCAATAGCTATCAACTATATACATTTTGTTCGCAAAAATACAAATTATTTAAGCTACTCTTGCCATTGGTATTATGCTTAAGTTATTTTCATAAGGTTTTCTGGGTTGTCCTCCAAGACATTTTTTTGTTTTGAGATTTCAGGTTTTTTAAAATATTGCTAGTACTTTTATCAATGTTCTGGCTGACTCCTGTTCATAGAATCAGTATTATGTTTGATGTGCAAGCATTTAACAAGAACAGTTCCCATGACGACATGTGGTCTGTATCATGACTTCATAACAGTATGTACGGATAAGAAACACGTGTCTCAGATAAGTATTATTTACCAGGGTGCAGTACCGCAAAGTAATCTCAGCACTAAGTTGATCGTAACTCTGATGCTTTAACACAGAATTACGACAGTCGTTGCACTACGATTGCTTAGTGGAACGTCCCTGTGAGAAAACATATGAATATAACACCATTCTAGGCCATACCCATTTCAAGACCTTTAATATAGTTAAAAGATTCATTTTGTATCTAAAGCACCATGAAATATTAGATGCTACAGATGATCAATCTGACCTAGTTACCACAGATGAAATGTGCTGAAGCACGTGCTTAGAGCAGTGCTAAAAATACTGAAAGAATATCTCATGACATCTCCTTTGCATGAAAATATTTTTGACACAGTAGCATTTTCTCAAAGTTGTTGGATACAATTCAACCATGATACTCAACAGTAAGGGTAAATTGGTACCTTGCAACATAATCGGCAAAGACTTTGCGACATATTGTTGGTATGGCATAGTGGATACAGTGATACATTATGATTGGTAGTTAGAAGAGCACTGATGTTTAGATGTGAGCAAAAAAAGAACAAATTGCTGAATCAAGTATCATAGGAAGCAGGAGTAAATGCTGACCAGGCAAAATCCTACTTGTTCATTGCATCCCCTAGCATCATGATAGACCTAATGAAAACAAAGGATGTTTCCTAATACCTGATTTTCAAAGATGTCTGTAATGGCAGCCATTTTGTTTTGTTTTTTCGTAATTCTTTGCAAGATAATCCAGCAGAAATCTAGGTTACAGATTAGTGTTAGGAATTTAAGAAATATTTCAATATTGTTGGCACACAACAGTACAATCAGTCACATAAATGGTATCTGAAGAATCTCTTTTCAACCAGAGTATGTTGTTAGGGAAGCATCCTCCATGGGATATACAATCATTAGATCTATGCAACCCTAGCACGGCGGTGGTTAGAGCTTTCAGCTTGATCTCACTTCACTGCAATGCTGTCAGATCACGTGTGCACTTTGGTTACTTTCATAATCTTAATACTATACCTGAATATCATTGTACAAATTACTGTCTTCTTGGAGTTATTTGCCCATTTTCAGTGTGAACCTTGAACCGTTTTAGGTTCAAACTGGTATTTCGTTGGTCCTGAAATTGACCTGATCATCCCTCAACCCACCATCTCATCAGCAGCCCCAGTCTGCAGTCAGACTAAAGTTCACTCACCCGAAAGTCGGTCATGAATATCATGCTCATACTACCACTCACGAATATTTATATCACTTCTGTACATGGGCTTATATCACTGGGGACAGACAGCTGCTGTTTAGTGATAATGGTGAATGCCATATACACCCATATCTAAATTTAGAAAGAGGTTTTATCATATACAGCCTGAGATGTGATGCTATACATTTTGTATACCATAGCGAATGCCAGGTGCTATCAGCCATTTGAATACTATACTGCACCTTTTCAGTGTAGTTATGAATTTATATGTTAGTTCATACATGTAATATTTTCATATGTTTCTTTGAAAAGACCAAGTGTTAATATTGGTATTGATCATTTGTACAAATCCATTTAATGAGACTGACTGGATGTTAGACTACTTACAATGTGAATGGTAACCATGTTGGTTAGTAGGCGAGACTGGGTCTGAAATGCATGTCGGTAGTGCGTTGATCACGAAGTGATTCATATCATTATTTCGAGTAATCAAAGTACTGAGTTTGTGTGTAAATTTAGTGCTGTGAGAGAAATATATTGCCATTGTACAAAACATTATTTAAATCTTTATATATATTCTTTCTATTTTTAATAAAATGTGATCATATGATTCATGCTGTTGTCAAATTATTAAATGTTGTGAGTGAAAGTGAAAATTTCATCTTAATTAGTGATATGGTTTGTCTGGGTGTTTGTACAAACGACCTGAGTGCTAAGACTCTGGTCAGTCTGTGTTCATGTATTGGGGTCACAATCACCTTAGTACTAAGACAGCTTTGTACAAGGGCACCTGGTCAGTTGGTAACAGGGAGCAGTAATGTTAAACTGTCTTACACTAGACATAGGACAGAGGATACAGCACAGGGGTAATTGTGAAACGTACATGTAGAGCAAGGTTCTGTTCCCATCAGAATAATCACAAAGACACTCTTGGAAGTCATTTTTATGTCATTGATAGCGAGAAATATTTAGATATTGAAACATTGTTTCTCTGATGTTCTTTGATATCAGATGATAATCAAAATCAATAGATTATGCGTGTTGTTATATTTCATTGTGGTAGGTGGATTCGGGAGTCAATTAGGAGGGTACTTTGGGCCTGAACCGTAAATAATGTCCCATTTTGTAAGTAAATTCAACATTTGTAAATCATTAATGTGTAAGTGATCAATTACCTTACAGGTATATACTTTATTTTTTCAATCAGTAATTATTAGATATTTTTATCCATTCTTGTTTTCAGTAGTATTTGGGATTCAAAGATTTACAAGATAACATGGAGTAATAATGAAGTTGGATGGTATTCCAGATTCAGGGGAGGGCTAGGTGGGTGGGTGTCACCTTCATTGGAGAATTTTGATACAGTGTAACCCTCTGTAGTGAGGTCCTCTTGCAGGGGGCCACATGCACTGCTGGCGTTTACTGTGTTGATTCTTTCACAATGAAACAGATTCAGTGATAACTAACAGCCAGAAAAGTGTAAAAATTATTGTGATATTTTAATTGAATACAAGGCTCTGTTGTCTCCTATCAGTCAAATTGAGAAATAAATTCCTACTTTTGTTTGTGTAATAATGATAATCATAACTGAGTGAGTGAGTTGGGTTGTACGCTCTGCTTTTAGCAATACTCCAGCAGTATCACTGTGGGAAACACCAGAAATGGGCTTCACTCATTGTACCCATGTGGAGAATCGAACCTGGACCTTCGGCATGACGAGTGAATGCTGTAACCACTAGGCTACCCCACCGCCCCAAATCATAACTGATATACCTAAATGAATTTGAGTTAATGCTGACAATTATGCTGGAAGTAAGATCTTGACTTTGGTTTACTGAATGTGGTGTCCAAAATATGGCAAAACATGGACAAATAAGGGGGGAAATGCATTGTATAGAGGATTAGCCCCAAGCATTATCAGACTGAAAGAATTAAATATTTTTGTCATGCTGAGCTGATGGTTAGAGCGCCAGTGGGTAGATGGAGCCCCATCACAGGCAAGCTGGTTGCCGTGCAGCCGTATGCAGAGATTTGACGTCAGCCACTATAAATAGATACAGTCAGTTCCCGGGCGTTGTGAAATCAATAAACCAGAGTGACATCCGCCAACAGACTGGTTTCACTCTTGTCAATGATGATGTAATAGGCAAGGTATCCCATATCTATCAACGTAGACAGCGTATTAATACTTTACACCCAAACGCTCGCTGATGCGTGATGATGCATACATGGCGGTTATACACGTATTGTTTGGGGTATTTTCCTCAAACAAAATGTTTGAACCATACCCTGGAAATAATGCAGAAAATTAAAGTAATTTTTTCATGAAATGACAGAGACTATATATTAAAAGGCTTTTATTATATAGTCTCTGGAAATACTAGTTCATATGAATAAACTCGTATTCCAGCCAAGGCCTACATATGGAAATACCAACAAAGAATATACATCTTGTAACATATCTGAATTACGTCATTTGTAACAGAGGCATCAGTGAACAACTTGTGTTCACGTATATCCACGTGTTACTGATGGGGCTCATACTGCAGGGACCGTTCATAATTTATGGGGGGAGGTGGGGGGTCATCAATTTTGTACACACGTACTAGGGTGGGGGAGTCAGCAATTTTGTACATGAATATGTTTTTAAAATAGGCTTAAAATTATGGGAAGGGAGAGGGGGTCATTGATTTTGTACATGACATGCAGGGGGTGTCACTTTGTACATGAATTTTAGGGGGCTGGGGTGTTATTCACATTGTACATGCTTTTCCGTAAAAATCATCACACAGACACCCCATCCCCCCGCTATAAATTATGAACGGCCCCTTGGGTAAAAGACTACTGTGCCATTATTACATAATAAACAACATCTGGTTATTTCTTGAGGACAGACACCCCGCATCATCAGATAAAAGTGAACGGATATGATCTGTGAATCTTAACACGAAGGTGAAGCATGTGGGCGTGGAAATAGATGTTGACATGTTTTTATTACCTACTAGGTGCCAGGCTATGTAAACATTGTAAATGCAGGTGTCGTCTGTGTGAACGAAACGGTCACTATGCATGTATTGTCTGTATCAGAGAAAAAATAACGTCCTGAATTTTGTTTGTTTGGGCGAAAACTATCATATAAATTGGGAAGAACCGTTGCATAAGTCCAACGCGTGGCTTTCCTGTTGTGTTTTATTGAAGCCACCGCGGCCTTGGCCACGAAGAGCGCTGCATCTGTGCTTGCTTAGTGTACGCGTGGATTCGTTTGACTAGTGCCCGTCTACAAGGAGCTGTTCGAGCGCAGTCGGTCGTTGAACCACGAGAAGGAGAGTCGGTGTACTTATTGTTTGCCTCGGAATGTACAGCCTGGTTCCCAGGGTACGCAAGCGCAGCATACCCGGGGAACCAGCTGTGGTGTGTCTGCGTTGGACGGATCACGTGGTGTTAAGCTTGACCTTGAGTGGATGATCTTGACACTGGTGAAATGACAACGCATATCGTGTCACTTATCACCGTCTGTGGTTTCACCGATATGTCAGATTGCATGGTGCTGGAGAGAGGCCATTCACGTGGGCATGGTATTATAATGATGGGTGAAATAAAACCCAGAAATAATTCAAACACGATTGCATCAAAAGTTCAACAGCGATGATAAACATATTTTGTTCAATTTGGCCATCCCTTCGTGGTGACTAACTACATGACATATACTATTGTGTCAATCACTGTAAGATACAGAATGTACTGAGGAGTCCCATATGGCTTTAACCGAATATCGATCAACCGAAAGCATTTGCGTAGAGTCTGACATGGGGAATGCACAATAGAAATGCGACATCAGATATAGGAGTATCCAGTACGTAACACGACGTGACACAGGACTGCCCACGACGTAACCAACCTGACATGAGACTGCCCAATACGTAACACGACGCGACATAGGACTGCCCAATACGTAACACGACGTGACATAGGACTGCCCATGACGTAACCAACCTGACATGAGACTGCCCAATACGTAACACGACGCGACAGGGGATGATGTGACTGCACAATACGTAACACGACGCGACATGATACTGCCCATTACGTAACCAACGTAACACGAGACTGCCCAAGACGTAACACGACGCGACATGAGACTGCCCATTACGTAACCAACGTAACACGAGACTGTCCAAGGCGTAACCCGACGTGACATGAGACTGCCCAAAATGTAACACGACGTGACATGGGACTGCACTTTGCGTAACACGCAGTTACATGGGACTGCCCAACATGTAACACGACGTGACATGAGACTGCACATGACGTAACATGACGTGACATGGGACTGCACTTTGCGTAACACGTAGTGACATGGGACTGCCCAACATGTAACACGACGTGACATGGGACTGCACAATACGTAACACGACGTGACATGGGATTGCACATTACCTAACACAACGTGACATGAGACTGCACAATACGTAACATGACGTGATATGGGACTGCACTTTGCGTAACACGTAGTGACATGGGACTGCCCAACATGTAACACAACGTGACATGAGACTGCACAATACGTAACATGACGTGACATGGGACTGCACTTTGCGTAACACGTAGTGACATGGGACTGCCCAACATGTAACGCGACGTGACATGGGATTGCACATTACCTAACACAACGTGACATGAGACTGCACAATACGTAACATGACGCGACATGGGACTGCACAATACGTAACACGACGTGAAATGAGACTACACAATATGTAATCATAATGTGTTCAATTGTAATACCACGTGACATGAGACTGCACAATACGTAACACGAATTGACATGGGAGTACCCAATACGTCACCAACGCGACATGGGATTGCACACTACGTAACACGACGTGACATTGGATTTCACAATATGTAACATGGTGTGGAATTGGGCTGCACAATACGTGACACGAGAGTACCCAATACGTAACCAACCTGACACTGCATTCCACAATACATAAAAGACTTGACATGGAAGCGCACAATACACAAAACACCATCTGACATGGGCGTACACAATACGTAGCACTGAGTGACACGAGAGGTCACAATACGAAAGGCGATGTCATATGGGAGAGCACAATACGTAGCCAACGTGACATGGGAGTACACAACACGTAACCAACGTGACACGGGACTACACAATAAGTAACCAACGTGACTAAGGAACGCACAATACGTAGCCAACGTGACATGGGAGTACAAAGACTAAGGCTTAGTCTCTGAATATATATAATTTTGATAGTAACAAACAAGCCCATTTATATTGAAAAGGAGCCCTAGGGAGACCAGAGATTCTGAACCCTGAACCTGGGGAAATCTAGACTTGCTTTATTTAGGGCTTTAGCACTGCAGAGAGGGCTTGGCAGTAGGGAAAATAATGTGGTTCAGGGACTGTGAGACAGACTACATGGGCTAAGCAGATCACTCTACAATCAAACATTGTGGGAGTTGAGACAGACTATTGGCAGAAAAGGGCAAAGGCCAAGCCTGAAATAGCCGACTGCCTGTTGTTGCCATGGACAGTAATATTTAAACAAAGACTGACTTGTAATGATTAGAAATTCCTATCCTGTC